TCTCAGCAACTTCAATTTGATGTGGAGTTACGTCCACTCTGACAGCAGGAATGAGGGCCACATGCATCGTTTGGCCATCAATTGCTTCCAGGTCTAGACGTTGACACACTGGTCTCAGGCAGACGTTTCACAGAGAGGATGGAAATCAAACACAGCTCCGTATGCAAGGCAATCCGGAGTAGTGTCTTGCCGACATCTCTATACACGAATGTAGTAGGAAGAACGGCAATACGAAACCGTTCTGCTTGGTTAACAACAATGTCGCTTCATTTGTTAAGAGCTTTGTTGTGGGGGAACACGGGGACATGGTGGGGCCAATACAGGTATTATTCGCATCCATCCTATTGTGGAGAATTCTGGGGATCCCCGCCTAAAGCATATGCGCACCCTTCACGCCATAGCAGCATATTACAAACGGTGGATATTGGGATAGAATTCGTCAAAATGCTAGCGCTGCTTTCTTTTGCCACCAATGTAGCTCCTCGAGGCTTACCGTTAGGTAAATTCATGTATCTGGAGGGAGGTGGATAGAGGAAGACTAAAATTTACCTTGGCTTGGCTCCAATGCCTGTCCAAGGACATAAGAGCAAGGCGAATACCGAGTAACCGCCAAATATACTGGTGGCTACACAAAGTATTGCATACACCCACTGGGAAGTGCCGGATCTCTGAGGCAAATATGTACCGTATATAGCAAATATCCACGTCGTATCTCGGTTACCAGCACAAACCGGTCATAGGTACAATATCCGCAATGCAAAATATCTGCGTGCTTTGTTAATTTGATCGGCTGTTGGAGAAGCGAGTGCAATGGTGGCTGTAGAGCTCCTTGACTTCCCATTGAGTAGAAGAAGGCATCAAGTTAGGCTAAACACATGCATTCAAAGGAGAGAAGAAGGGATTGGGTTTCAGCTTGGCCTGAATACCAGCTTATGCGTATTGGAACAAGACGGACACCAAAGTAACCACCTACCTCAGGTGGTCACATAAACAAGGTATTACAGCGGTCTAAAGTTATGTATTTAGCCATCCATTATGCCCTCTACCATCAAAAGACAAGTCGTCTCTCAGTGCTGCAATAATGGCAACAAAAAGCAAACCCAATATTGCTGTTGCTCTTATCATGCTCTTCGTATATGCTTCGGAATGAGAAATTCTAACTTCGCCACAGCTGAGGAGCTGAGAATAACGTCCGACTTCGGCATCCACCTCGTTTCCGCGGAGGGAACGAGCCAATTTTAATACATTTGCTATTCAACTGCCAATAGGAGTCGCGCCACATACACTCAGTTAAGTTTTGTGCGTTGCAATACATAATGAGACGCCTAGAAACTGATATATGCCAGTTAGCTCAAAAGTGTTTTAGTGTCTCCCCTTCCTTCACTATCGTCTGAGTCCCTCCTAATTGTTTGCTCGTGAGAATTCGTACTTATACGAGTCTTATTGCAGAACATCATGGGCACCTCTGAATAAGTTGGGTGCCAAATCTCTCGCCCATTTTCCTACTTACCTAAGGCCCCGAGATGCAACGCTGTACTCCCATTCTCCTCCAATAGGACCTGCCTGCCTATACTCAGGCCTCTGAAGGTTGATCGAGGAAGCTTAATTAGGCATCATGTACAGAAAGAAAGGAAATGGAAGGAGATTGATGAGACTGAAGGCTGATGTCAACATGGGAACGTCACCCCACGCTCCAAACGAACTGGAATCGTGTTCAAACTGCTTCCCGCCTCTTCCTCACAAAGGCGAACTTAAACGCATTAGGGTATATTACATGAGGAGCCGATCAAGTGGGAATCAAAATGACAGTAATGAAGACGTGGTGTCCTGAGACCTTTCCCAGGTGGAAGAAGGCATCACGATAAGCAGAAAATGTGCAGTAAAAAGAAAAAGGCGGGAACATTTAGCACGATCCGAAGCCCACTTCTCGCGTAGAGGAGCAAAACAGCTACCAAAGTAACCGCTAGATATCAAGTTGCCACATATGCAAGGTATTACAGAGGAGGCCACAGTTGGGATCACAGCATTTTGGACAACAATTAGGCCTGTATTGGCAACCAACATGTTTCATGCATTATAAAACACCTAAATAGTAAGAGATATGCTTGATAAACTAAACAAACCAACGACGTTTGGTTTAAAATATGAATTAAACTTGTTTGTTTAAAAATACACCTGTACGTTGTATTTAGAATAAGTGCTGTACAATGTTTTTTTTACTCATGAATTTTACGAGGAGTATATTTTTCCTCAGTACCTGAGAAATTATTCATAAGATCGGATTAATGCACTTAAATGCAGCGAGGGCAAATAGTCTTGAAACCGAGTTGTTCTAACCCCTGGCTACGAAAAAGCGTTTTTCAAGCCGAGCACTAGTAGTCAGCTGCTCCGGGAAGAATTCGGTTATTTTATTCCCATATTATCGATTAAGTTTCGATCTCACGTGCGTATTTTTCGTTTATCCTCATTTGTTGTGCACGTACTTGTACTCATTTTCAAAATGGGGGGTGTCTCTGGCGAGCCCCTTGTCAATAACTTCAAGATTCCCTCCTGGTAACCTGCTTTTAAAGTAATCTATTTTTAGGGCCGCCAAACCACCACCAGGTGTACATTTGGATGTCATGAAGGATGGTAAACTTATACAGGTATTTCTCTGGTCTCTGATTTTACCTTCTTTTTACTGCGAGTCACTTTTCGATCTCAGTTTCTTTGGGTGTATGAAAATCTGCATTTTATTTTGCACTTTAGAAACTAATGATGGACGACAAATCGTGTTACTTCTTTGGTCGCAATCGCCAGCTCTGTGACTTCGCTATCGACCATCAATCATGTTCTCGTATTCATGCCGCTTTGGTTTGGCATAAGAACCTTAATCGTGCGTTTCTGATTGATCTAGGAAGTGTGCATGGGACTTTCATCGGTCGAATCAAACTCGAACCTGAACGACCACAACAGGTCAGCTACGGTTCCTCAAGTTGAGCAATTTTTTTGCCAAAACCTATAAATTACTCTCTCATCAGGTTCCTATTGACTCGGAGATTCACTTTGGGGCTTCCACACGGGTCTACATAATTCGAGAACGGCCAAATCCAATAATAAACTCCTCCACGGCTGAGGCAGATAGGCTGATAAAGGAGGCTGCAGATGCCACTGGCAACGCTAACAAGTTACCACAGAGCGAGGTCGAACTGGACAACCTGACCCAATTTAATACAGCTCATAATCGTCGAATTGCTGTGAGCGATATGCAGCCACCCACTGTGTCAGTCGTACAACGAGGACGCAGGAATTCACTTAACCAGCGGCTCAGTGTTCACTTTAGTGACATCGAAGAAGTTATCAATCCTGAGGACGTGGACCCATCTATTGGTCGCTTCCGGAATCTCGTCCAGGAAACCTTCATTCCCAATAAGGTAAGCACTTTTCTCCCGTGCTGGAAATGCATTAGATCATCTCCTTTCTCACTCGTGTACCTTATCTGCCCAGGGCGCACATAAGCACGAAGGAGCGGACATCGGCATTGCTGCGCCTAGGTCCAACCCAACCCCTTCCAGGCCTTCAATTAACGAACCAGTTGCAAATCAGTCGACTCGGCTAGCGACTACGGTGAGCAACCCCAGCTTTACCCTCGCCGCAAAGTTAGGTTTACCGATGCCGAACCTGGCGCCTGAAATCGACTCAGTGGAGCCACAAACCACACCTTTGATGCACCGGCTACCGACAACAGGAGCAACACGTCTTTCGGCGGAAGACATCTTTGGAGGACCGCTTCCGGGACCCAAGGACGAAGCTGCCACCGGAGGTAAACGCCCTGCCAACACTTCTTCTGGAGGTGAGGAGGCTGAGAACGCAGCACCAAAGAAGAAAAAGTACGCCAAGGAAGCTTGGCCCGGCAAACGACCAGGATTTCTTGTGGGTCCCTCAGTTGCGTGAAATCGCCCCTCCCCCACCTCAGTTTTTCTTTGTACATTATTATCCTAACAATAAAATTAAAGCGTTGTACTCACACTCATCAGTTACTTTGAGTTCGAACTCTTATGGTCAAGCGTCGGCAAGCGATAAGAGCCAAGCCATCTAAGCGCTTCAAGACCAGTGCAGTGTATACGGACCCAAAGGGCGTGCACAAACAAGTTCCCGAGGATTAAGTGACCGAAATTCACAATATTGGGCAATTTTTCCAGAGGAGGTCTGAATCAAGAGCAATTAAGGCTAGCACATACAAACTAGGATCGTCAGAGGACAGGCGAGTACGCACGTCTAGGTGTTTACAGCCACAAATGAAAGTATCGACAGTTCAACCTAACAGGCAAGTGCAAGATAGTACAGTGCAAGGGAAACCATTTATCCCACGTGGGAAGACTCGAATAGTACATATTCGACCAACCATTTATTTGTACAATTATTCGTTCTCCGTAAGCCTTATCTTGGCATTGGGATTAACTACACGAATATTTAGTTCCTTTGCACGTTCAACAATCTTGACACGATTTTTTCTTGAAACCGTCCTGGAAATGACACCCGCATGGGTGCGATGCTGCATCATCAAAACCTCCAGTTCCTAAAAGCATGTTAAAAATGCTGGGAGATACTTTAACGTTGTTGATCAAAACATGCTTGAACCCATCTGGATGAATGTGCCTAACACGTTTGGCCGTCCGATAGCCGATTTTCGGCATGCGAAGCTGACCCTTAAACCGACGACGAACCCTGTTGTCGATACCCTTCGGCTTGCGCCACTTAGTACCAAGACGAACATAACGATCACTCTGGTGTCTATGCCACTTCTTGGGGTGCTTCTTCACTATCTTTGGATGTGGCAAAGGTTTAAGCGCCATTCTGCAGAGGAAAATGACAGAACTTTATCCAAATACACAGACCGTAAGCACCCAACACGGCTGCCAAAACTCACACGAAGAACCGCAAAGAGCGCGCGTTGAGAGTCAACTAACCACTAAAACAGTGGTGTCGGTTTGGTAATAGATTGATTTCCTAATTAGTTTTGTAAAAGAAGATTTTTTTACAAGTCAAAATAACATTTCAACCACCGTTTTCTTCGGTTAATAGTCATTTTTACGCACTGAGCAAAATACATGGTATCTCACACGCCTCTGTAACGAGCTTAACACACCCTCACAAAACCCGCCCCAGTTTGTAGCCTGATCCCCGAGGAGACTCGAACACATGTCAAACGAGTCGGTTGTGCTGAACGACACCCACGGCAACCTATATCAAGCCGGAGACACCGACTCCCCACCGGGATAGCGCCCACAAGACCGGCAAGCCCAAACCCACGCCCGAAGACTTCATTGCCACCCAGGTCATATGAATCCGCCAACCCACTACACGTACTCTAGGCAACTAAACTCATATCAGATCAGCCACCTACCTACGTCTGATTGCGTCATAAACGTCGCTTCGGCGACCTCGATAGTTGACTCGTAATGCAGTTCAAGGACCACGATTACTAATCGCACCTGCACCAAAACTTCTGAATAAAGGCTAGCTACGCTCCTCATCCCTATCCAGCTAATGCTCCCCAATCCACGCTCATTTACACCGAAGTTGTGACCATTAATTCAAGCTGAACGTAAGGTTGATAATGATAACCTGTAGAAACTTGGATGGACTGGCCATGCTTTCCATTAATTGGACACAGAGAAAAGGTGCAATGCTTAAAATTTGCAACTCAGGAGCCAGAGAAGTCTCGAGTTACCGGAGATTTGCTGAAAGTTACGCGGATTCGCGAAGTCGGCCTCATTTGATAGGTGTCCACTTTCTGAAAAGTCACATGAATGAAGGATAACCCATCGTTAGAGAGGAATAACGACAAATAAATGCTTGCATATGTTGACTGAAGCTAAAACGTACTATGATTGCATTTACAGCATCTGCGAGTGTCGCATATTCCACCAGAGCCATCCTCTTATCACGACTGAAATGAGGAACAGATAAGTGGTGGAGCTAGCGTACAATGTGAAATAAAAATTTAACTTGAAGGGTCATGGGAGGAAGATGGGATTAAGAGATGCTCAAAAGACCTGATTGAAGGTTCAGACTATAGATAGTCTCTACCGAGAACCGCTTTGACAATAAAGTGATGGATTGAACCGAAAAAAAAACTAGCCGAAAGAGGTTAGGGTATTCACAACTGTCTAAGAACACACTTTAAATCTAGAAGAAGTGTTGAACTAGGACGTCTCGGAGATTTCCGCAAGTCGAGGCTAGTTACCTCTATAGTGGTTAAAACCTACTGGAATGGACTAGAGGCGTCAGTTATAATTCCTGCTCGGTAAAGACTTATTTCCGCATGCTACATTAAATGGGCTAGTCTGACTCAAATTTGCACAGAAATCGCTCCCCACCATGACTGAACACAAAGATTACACCTTCGTTCCAATTCAAAAAGATACTTAGAAATTATATGAAACCATATTTACAAACATAGACAGCTCTAGAAGCAACGCATGACTAAACAAGCAATCATGATAAACAATCTACCCTCAAAAAATCCCATGGTAAATGGCGGGAACATAAAGATATACTGTCAAGCTGAAAACACAATAATGGTAAACCAACGATACAGAAATACATATTTTACTTCTACTTTCACGCCGAATAACTGAGTTCTCACCGGTGAGGAGGGCTATTCACACTTGTAATTTTCCATCACTAAATCGACCTATAACAGTGGTGACGTTCCTAACTCGCGGGCACAACAAGCTAAACTTGGGAGCAGAAAATGAGAACTCACTCCATGGACTTCACAAGGGTGGGCGCGACTCCAGATAGTTTGTGGAAGAGGTCAGAGATCTTGGCTTCACTGATGTCTTCGGGTAGACCGGAGACATGGAGGACAGTGTTGGGGGCACAGATATTGTAAAAGTTTCGAGAGTTTGCAGAACGAAAACGATGAAGACGACTGCCCGTGTAGTCGCGGGTGAGTTCTGCCTCTAGCTCACCTGCCGGTGTCACGCTAAGGTGCCTGGAAGGCTGGCAGCGCAGAGGTCGACCCAGTAAAGGAATGCCGTTCAGGTACTGAAGGGCTATATGAAGCAAATGTTTTAGTAAACATCTCCAAGTTTTTAATCAGTACTGATGACTTAAAATGGTAGGCAAAACATGAAAACACGAGTGAACTCAGCATCACAACGAGAAGTGGCTTACAAATATTTCTAAGTGAGCGTGAAACGAGAATAATGCCATAGTTTTTTAACCTACCCATGTTCGCTTGGTTTGCATCGGCGAATTGGATCAGAGCAGAGTCCTTCTTGTTGTAAAGAATTTTCACCCGCTGTACATCCCCATATACGCCTGAAAAGGAGTGCATTTACTGCTACGATGCTACATTAATCTGGAAGTGATAAGTCTATCGATAATAAAGGGGTCCGCAAGTCCAGCGTGTTGTTACATAAAGTGTAAGTGAAAAACAGTACTATTCAACATGCGTTCCGGTCTCGCATAGCCCACTTGAGACCATGCAAAATATAGATCACATTAAATGCGTTGGTAGAGAGATCAAAATGCCTAGAGGCGAAGTGATTTAGACAGCATGAGGTGACTGAGGCGAAAACACTACCGAACAGAGTGAAGAGGATGTCCAGCGTGATCTCCTGTTATGTCCGTATGGAGACCATTGTTTGCGAAGTTCCCATTAGAAGTAGAGAAGGAGGATGAGGGAAGGTGAGAGAGGAAGAGGTAGTAGAAGTTCAGAGATCCAGTCAGATATGGCAAGAGATTGAAGGTAGGAGCGGTAGAGAGGAGCAGGAGAGGGAGGAGAGGTAGCAAAACAAAGCGGGTTAACTTGGTGAAGACATAGGAAATCATCTCAACAAACATCAACTACCGAAATGAAAGAGTTCTGAAATTATGCCCTTCCAATGCTGAGCAAATTTATATCAGATTAGCTCGTTGCCAGCAGCAAATTGCACATCGTACCTCAGCATTCAGCTGGGTGACTAAAAGGACCGGTGATCCAAACGGAATGTTGGCGCTCTGATCAACAAGTGCACCACCGCTGGCAGCATTCAAGTCGACAAAACCTTTACCACCGGTGGTGCCGTTAGCACTGGCGGCAATATGGACTAATGGGATCAATTGTCGGATGCTGTTGGCCTGCGCCTGCAAATGCTGACTTTGTGGCTCGGGGAATCGAGAGGCCGCAATAGCTAATATAAAGATGTACAGAAAACGCATTTGTGATAAGAATGTATTATTGAACAATCAACAAAGGCATCAAGCACAGCACGAGATTATGTGCGCAAGAAGATTCCCTTCTCCGAGGGACAGTAGTAGAAACGTTTGTACGTGTTCCAGTGTCACGTATTTCTAGCCTGAAGAGCATTTTACTCCATAAAGTGTAGAATTTTCTGCATTTCACGATGGATTGTTGCTATTGTAGACCTTATGATTTGAGCAAAAGCAAAGAAATAAATGGAGAGTCTCAGACTTCGCGTTCCGTCAAAAGTACACCACTAACAGCGCAAACGTCAGATTGAACTTGAGGCTAAAAACAGTGACATAAGGATACATATCATTCAGCAAAGAAACAATAACAAGTGCATTCATTCTTATTTCCAAAAAAAACATCATTTTGAATGCTCAACTTACCTAATGCCTGAGTTACCTCATTGGCAAAAGCGCTTAGAGTCTGAACATCGAGAGTAGCCAACTGCTGCACCGAAGGAAGGCCATTACTGGCGGAATGAGAGGAAGATAGTGAAGTTGTGCACTGGGGTGACATCCATGACTGTGCTCCTATCACACTTGTTGCTTGCTGCTGCTGGTGATCAGAAAGTTCTGGTGACAAAAATAGCGGATTTTTAGTGAAATCGCGACAGTACTGACTCTCCTGATGCACATCAAGCTTTTCCATATGGGAGTAGTTGGTGCGGCAAATGCCTCCAGCAGCAAATGGACACCCATCAAGTTGCTAAGGCGATAAAAAATCAGTGAACAGATGGAGAGTGTACAGTGAAGATAAAAAGATGGGGCTAACTCACATGCTTGGCAACATCAGTCGAAACTGCCTGAGCAAATTCAATAAAGGCTTGTGGATAGGAGCCACTCTTGAAGGTGACAATGCGAAGGATTTGACCGAACTTAAATAGCGCCTACAAAGACATCTAAACATCAGATTATCAAGTTTGGGAATTTAAACAAAGGTCAAACCAAAAAGTTGACAAACATGATAGGCATAATCAGCCATAATACAGATGACCCTCGAGACCGTTCTACAAATATGCCTTGGAAGTACTAAAATAACTTTAGACAAAGGGCAGAAGGACAATAGGGACCAAAAAGTACACAAACCTGGTAAAAGGGAACATAACCCAGAGGAGTTGTTGATGGATTTGTGACTTGCATCCAAAGAACTTTTCGTGAGCTGCTACCAAGAGAGGATGATGACCAAGTTAGAGCCTGGTGTGCTCTGTTAACATTCTCGATAATTTCAAAGAGCAGAGGACGCTTCGAAGTGGTTGTTAGATGCGGGTGCTTGGAGTACTGCACAGTGATAGTTTGACTGCCACGAATTACAGGTGGTGAGTAAAGATCGTAGTAGGTCAGCATGTTTGTGGCACTCTCCTGTTGCTGGAACTCCAGCATCGCCTGCGATAAACATAGAAAGTATGGTGGAAGGTTCGAAAGGCGGTGAGACGCAAAGGCTAACCACAGTAGAAGGAAACGCATGTAACACAAAGAGCGAGCTGCAAGTGAAATGTGAAATGGATTGCTTACCTGACCTGTCTTTGTAATAAGAACGTTTTCAACTAGACCAAATGGAATGGCAAGAGTTAGAACTTCTTTCTCACTGACGTCTGTGGGCAAGGAACGAATGTAAACCACGGGGGAAGGTTGGTTGTGATCAGATTTCGACTGTTCATGCTAAAATTTGAATAAATTGAGCATACCCTCTTAGATGTCGAAAGTTGATCGCAATTAGCTTGTTCGCCAAAATATGGGTACTAAAAATAAGATAGTGGGTAATCTTTCAAAAAAGCACAAAGTAAAGTCAAGTACAAAAATTCGAAAAATGAAATCTACTCCATAGGGACTAGATCATTTATCAGGATTCGGAAAATAGCTGCCAAAGAAACAATGACTGATTCAAGAGGCTCAGACAGCGAACAAAATTTTGACAAAAGAAAAACAAGCAAAAACCCTAGGTCCATGTATTGACACCTCATTCAGTCGTTTTTTCTTCGAAAATCAAAGGCCGGCAATTCACTTAAATCAAAATTATCATGCCTATGACCATGCGGCGAACCCACCTGCCTTTTCTGGTCAAGCATAATGCACACTAAATGGACCTTTTAGAACTAAGCGCATTGGCAGATTTAAAAAATCTTAATTAAGATGGGAGCCGACTATAAGAAACTTATCGTTTATATTCATAAACTGCAGGTTGTTTCCACATTAGGCAATTTAGTGCTTAGGAGTAAATGCGAACTGTGAAAATATGCCTCGTAAATCCTGCACTACAATGTCTTCTGAAAGCTAATCGGCGAACGCATAGAACCTGAAACGTCTAACTATACCATTTCTCAGTTTAACAAGTGTTTTAGAGAACCCACTATAGCGTCCCGAGGCATAAGTGGGGTTGAATACATGTATTCCCAAGACGACAGGGCAAATGGGGCCTGAGCGTGCCTCGAAGGCCAGCCCACATGTGCACTGGCCAGACAAAATCTAAGTGACCGCCAAACGTCAAATAGTCACATAAACAAGGCGTTGCACTGCCCCTCTCTTCTTTTGAGTGACGTCCTCGGCGCTTCTCTTTGGTACACCTCCCGCACCAGCCACCACAACATATTCAGTACTACAAGAAAGTACCCTCGAGCCAACCGCGCTGCTCGACAGCTAGGAACGGTGTCTGGTTACCTCGGCGGCTTCAGCTGGATCTGAAGTTACGTTTGATCCTGTAATATATTCCAGCTTGTTTAAGTGGACTTTTATAGGTGAGAGGCGGGATCCAATTGGGAACGTGGATAATGTGCCTGAAGTCGGCGAGGAGCCTCCCTCCGATTGATATCTCTTACCTCATCTGTATCCTTCCTAACAGCGATGCCTAATAAATCGTCTACATCCAACTTCCTCTTAAAGTCTGAGAACCTGGGACCAGAGGGTAGACAGGCGGTAACTACACATCTGACAACCAGATTCGGGGCCGCATAACCTGTCGACCATCAATTTCTTCCAGGACTGGACGACGTAACTCTGCTCTAAGACATATACGTTACAGGGGAAACAAGATGAGCCACTGTCCTGTATATAAGGGGAACTGTAGTGTCATTTCCGTTACCTAAAAACGGATAGTGTATCGTAAATCCTGACATGAAATTTTTTCAGATAGTTCACGGCGGTGTCGCTTCAGTTGTTAACACCTTGTCTGTTGAACACGATAATAATGTGAAGCCAAATGCAGAAGTCAGACGGAATCTTTCGTTGTAAAGGTTTCAGAGATTGTCCGTCATCGATGTAAATGCGCCTACTCCACACCGTAGATAAATGCAACCCACAGTACGTGGCTGAATAGGAGTCATTAAAAATGTCGGGTTTGCTTTCAGTTGCCACCAGTGTAGCGTCACGAGACTCCTCATAGAGTGGAAGAAGGCAGTGAACGAGGATGGATGCATGTATTTCGAAGGGTACAGAGTAACTGGACCTGAGCATGGTTCGAAGGCCAGCCCACATGTAAAAATGTCATGTGGTCACGTAAACAGAGTATTACAGGCAAAGGCGCGAAACTTGATTTTGTCTAAATGCTAGCCCACGTGTACAAGAGCCAGACGCATCTCAAAGCAACCGTTAGATATCAAGGCCTAACATCAACAAGGTATACAACTCTGCCACTTTCCATTTTTAGCACAATTTTTGGTCTTTCTAATGAGCATAAACGACGACGTGATACGTTCCTCAAAATCCAGCCTATGTGAACCTATCGGCCCCGTCTGGAATCTTCCCGATTGATAAGTGAAGGAGACGGGCCTGACTTAATCCTTGCATTCGGGCAGAAAATATAGAAACAAGGCTAAGCTCAGCCCTGAAGTCCACCCACGCATCATGAACAAGATTACCACCAAGGTGTTGGTCTCCCAACAGCAACGCTGCAACGTCTGCAATGCTTGGGTTGTTTAGCCGCTTGTATCGGTGATCCTCATGGCGACAAACTTACCTCTGCCGAATGGACTGAACTTCGAACCATGCCGAGGCCCCACTTCCACCCTTTCTATCCGAACACATTACTCACCCGTACCCCTTCTAGCGTAGGAAAGGGGGTTTTGAACGCTAAAATATCAACTAATACTATCACTGGTTTACCCGACAGATCCTCAAAGCTTAGATCTCGAACTATACTAAAAGTGTGAATCGAAACGATGCTTTACACTTGGAATTTATAAGTCATTAGAAAAGTAACCTGATTCTCAGTTCAGTGTCGTCTATACGTATACACCTGGGTCGTGTTCAGCTGGCAGGGAAGCGGAAGAGGTATTACCCATTCACCTAATTAGCATCTTGATGAAGATAACTGGTTCGAATCTAAAGGCCTCCGTTAAACGTACGAGCGCGGGATAATCGCTAAGGACAGACACTGACTCAACTCCTTTCACATCAGCAGCGTATGCACCACTTCCAATAATCATATTTACCATCCGACAGTAGAATCCAGAATTTCAGCCATATTGAATAGCGGTCGCTTTCCGCTACCACCAATGAAGGACACTGGAACTTCCTGATGTGCGTAATGGCGGAGCAGAATGACGAACCAACATCGGAAGTCCTACCGATCTCTTGCCAAACCTGCAAGCTAAACGAACAAGCAAAATCTCGTAGTGGAAACAATAAATACAAACTTGCAGATGAATGGATCGAAACGTATGCAAGCACCGCGAACCTCAAGGAAGGAACACAGCTAATTTTCCGCGTCGTACCGACTTCCCCACGCTCGTTCCAATGAGAACTTTTGCGTGTGCTGAGCTTAAATAGGACAGAACTATGCAGAAAAATCAAATTGCTAAACCTAGTTGCAGAAGCACACAAACCTTCCTGCTGCTATCTCTCTTCAACTTTAACGAATGAGTAAAACGAAGTGCATCGGGTCTTAAATTTGATATTCTACAAACCCGTAGACTCCCTTCACATAACGACATCTATAGATAACGTTTTAATTTAAAAACAGACACAGTGGGGGGTGAGATGACGTGCACAAATGGGCGTCGCAAAACGCGACCCTGCTCCTTGACCACGGGATATAAGGGGCTATCTGGATAGGGCGACAGAGTCTCCGTGGTGATTGTAAACCTACCACCACGCAGAGCGACAAGATCCCATGTATCCCTGTTCAGCTGCACATTCTCACCTGGGTAGATCTCCATACCTAACTGTCGAAAAGTATAAACTAATAGATTAAGAAAAGAATCATGAACCGGGTAGTGTGTAAACAGTTCTATGAACTTAATTGGGCCTAGATAAAAGAATGCTTCTTAAATACGAAAAAGAAAATTACTTACTTGCCGCACCAAAATATCACCTTTGTAGACATGATCTCCGTCATTGAACTGAAAACCACGCAGCGTCTTTACCAAAACAGGCTTATTGATTTTTTCCGGTTGATCGCCGTAATTTGGTTTTTTCTTGACAGCAAAACTCCGTACGAGATTCTTAAAAACACCTACGGGACTCAAATGATATCAAAACAGACTTACCCCTGCGTAAGAATATGACCAGGGATTCCATGTTCACAAAGAGGGCAGCAGTGTTAATCTAAAAAAACAGAGAGGAAAAGAAGCTCCTTTCAAAAATCGACGCGCTAAAATCATAAAATTTCCGGAAAGTTGTTTTCGAAAGTGGAGATTGATTAATTGGAACACAGTATTCACTAAAGTAAATGTGAATTTTCCATATATAAGAGGCAGAAAATGAAAAAAAAACAGAAATGAACAACAAAAATGCTTAGCAAACCATGCTCATGAAATCGCCAAACTTCAATGCGAGAAATAAAGTCTCGCGCAGCGTACTTTGCATCGACAAAGACACACAATTTTAAAGTCTGCACTTCACGAAAACATTCGACGTTTATTCAAAAGTTGTGTCTTGAGTTTTGTAAAATATTAAAGAAACTATTTTTCGGTCTAGCTTAAATGAGACGAACACACTAATTCTTTTCCGTGCTAGTGAAAACCGGAGTCATGACACACTTCCAATAGGAGCTTATAATATTTTTGGAATGTCCCATCCCTAGGAAGCGGTTGCATTCTTCGGATACAGGATAAGGTCAGGCAGTAACATCGTTATCACTCATTATAAACTCTCTATGTGACCGATTTAACCGCAGGAATTAATGGAGAAAATATGGTTTCATATGACTGTTGAATGAAATAGCTTACGATTAATATGTGAACGTAAATAGAAACTTGGACTTCACGTCTGGTAGTATAAGCGTTTACGTATGTCTGCGTTTGTGCGTGTGGGTGTATATGTATGTAGGTATGCGTGCATGCATGCATGTATGCACGTATATCGTGAGCAACTGCTCAGAGAAAGTTGGATTCTTTGGATAACCAAGCTATGAATTTCCTAGATAGACCTGAGAACTGGGATTGCGGCACTATAAAAGCCTCGAAGCTTTAGTGTCAGTCGAGTGTTGACCATATTTCTACTGTTAGATAGCAAGTCTATGCGTAAAAAGTGGGACAATTCATGGATAGGCAATGCACTACATATGCAAGGGAGGGTTTAAGACCTGTTTGCGCGACCTAGGGATCTGGTTAGCCGGCAAAAGTACGTTAGTGGAAACTGAGTGATCCGTTACATTTGCCGAGAGTTAAGTGTGCAATCAGAGCATTGTCCCTAGTAAAATGATGTCGACTTCTATGGTCTCTATAGAAGATTCGCAAAACGTCCTCGTTCCATCTTTTGAATTCCAGTTGAAGAGATAACTGCTTAGGTTGTAAACAGTATCAGCCATTCTGATATGCGGACGTTGGTGCTTAAGCTTTGGGTATTGTTAATTGGCTGTTCAACCCTCAACTTAGTGAAGTCACTTGAGGTTCCACCACTGTAGTCCTGCCAGCAACTTGATTCTGCCAGTGTTTTAAGCGTTCTGGCTGGGGACAGTGTCAGGTTTTTGCCTTTAGAAAACTATCAAAAAGCTGTAGCATCTGCCACTTACCAGTTGCATCTTAAGATAGACCACTAAAAACAGCAAAATATGACGCTTGCCATTTGTTTCTTCTTGAAACGTGCGATGCACTATGGTGAACCCCTTAATAGTCATACATGATCAAATAGGAGCCAACCGGAACCCAATGAATGTCAGTTCATGTATGCCACTAGATAAACTCAGCTAAATGCAAGGCACAAGTTTGTTCATGTGGCCACGCAGCCGAGCTCAATGCAGCAAATCAAAATGCGAACTGGTGCTGGGGCTGCTAAAGACTAGCGAACAGCGCTCAAGAACACACCAATGAAACTATCTTCGAGTGGAGGTCTCCCCTTCTGGCCCCTCCATGTTTCCTAATTTTTATACACTTTTCCGCAGTAAAACTATAGAGCTCCTTTATTACGAGAAATAAATAGATATAAGACGTGAAAAAAATCAGTCCACACCACAAAATAGAACAACGATGAGCTTTGTTTTGATGTAAGTATTAAACAAGTCCCTGTGGCAAGAGACAAGCCAGAAGCTGGTAGGTAAGGAGAGCCGTAGCTCCTGTGATTTTTGGGAGCTCAGCAGTTCCGGGACAACCCCCAAAAACTGGCAAAGTGGAGGTGGCATTTTTTCGGAACGTGCGTGAATTTTCACAAGGAGACCCGAGAAAAGTTGTCGCTCCGGTGAAGGGAAGACAAAATTGTTCACGATAAACACAATACCTTCGATACGCAGGGTTCGAAAGCCATTTTATCGAGCGAAAAATGACCATGTCAACCTCATGGGGATTCGGCTGGAGACGCGCAGAGTGCACTGATCCATCAACTTGCTGGTTGATTGTGTTCTCTGATGGGTCATAGTTACCGATAAATCCAACCAGTGGGTGGATACGACTCAACACTGTCTACAAGAAAGTAAATTTTAAGGAGCAAATGAACTTGGAATGACAATCACCAACGAAATGCTGACTAATAAGGAGGTTTAGGTAGTTGATACATGAACATTTGATTGCATCAATTCACTCGCCAAAAACTTTTGACAAAAAGCGGCGCGTTTGAACCGGATGAACTTCAATATACTCAAGCCGAACATGCAAAAGCCACAATACTGAACCACTACATCGTGCGCATCTAAGCATTCATTTGAGGTCTGATGGATTAATTCTATCCACAGGCAAGTTAACAAGAAAGCATTCGAATTTTCAGCACATACCCTTGTGGATAAGGGAGCGAAGGCAGTCCAAAGATCCACAAAACTGGGCGGAATTCCGACCTCTTCCTCTAATTCCCGCAATGCCGCTTCAGACACGCTCTCACATGGCTCCATCTTCCCGCCAGGAAAACTAAACATTGCAAATGAAAGCTTGCAATACAGATGAAAATAAAAGTGAGAGAACAAAACGAATCTGCGACATTACCTTACCTCACCTGGAAAATGGCGCACGAGAAGACTGCGTTTCGTAAACAAGATAGCAGGATGGTGGCGGTCATAGTAGCAGAGGGGAATTACAATAGCCGAATCAAAGGCTCCATTTGGTGCGGGTCGGACTGGCGCCAGCTGTCGCAGCAAAGAGACGCAACGCTGTCTGTTGACGGAACCGAAGAGCTCGGTTACTCTGGACATCTATGCACGTTGACGCCAATGGACGAAGTTGCGACACTAAAGGAAGTCATGAATTCATTCACAGCTGAGATAAAACTACCCACTTTTACAACATAAAACGAAAAAGACACTGACATCCTTTTGAAAGGAAAAGTACCACCCCATCTGCACATTGGACGACTCTCACTTACAGACAAATTGAATGGCATACCGACACAAAGACAAGGTCTCCGCCTTATTGGGTAGAAGTATTGGAATAGAAAAGGCGCCTGTGAGATACAGTTGAAGTGGATTGCAAACTAATGTGAATAAAAACAGTGAAAACAAAGCAGCTATGACCGTCTGCAAATCAGTTATTATTGTGACTATTATTAGTTATAATAATAACATGCGTCGTAGCAAGCAATTACATATTCATCGGAATATGTAAAGGACTATGAACTTCACGTAGATGCGGTCTGCAAATGGAAGACGGTATAAAATATTTATTTTTAAGGAAGGCAATCCAGAGACTAGGAAGCCTCACAGCCTATCAAAAACATCAGACTGTAGTTGAAATTTCCACTGCGTATCTTACCAGTTCTGACCCCGCTAACACAAGCCGCTCTCTTGCTACGCGCGTTTTAAAACTTATTACAAAATAAGCTAAGTTATAATTTGTTAACACTTGATGTCTGACGGCCGCTTTAAGATGCGTCTGGATCTTGTACGCCTGAGTTTGCCTTCGGGCCAAGCTCAGGCCTTATCCCTTTGCTCTTTCTGGCATACATGTATTCAGCCCAATTGGTCTTCTTCTGCCCGCTCCGAGGTTGCAAGGCATTACGACAGTAAGCGGACCGGTCTTTGGACCAGGTCGGAGCTAAACTCCTATTCACTCTCTTGAATACATACATTCAGCCCAGTCGTTAAGACTACGGTAGTAGCTAATCCACTAGGTAATTAAATAGCTATAGTGTTATTTTTAGTGAATTAAGGGTTGTATAAAAATCGCCCAGTATCGAGATTCTCTAAAAATTATTTAATGTGAGAGTCATATTGCAAGACCGCTTCCTATTCCTGAACCTTCGCTTAAGACTTTAAATGTACAATATTAGAAGTTACCTAGTGCTTATCTTACAGACCTGTTTGACCTGGTTCAAATTTCATATTACGATTCTTCGTAGATTCATTTGAGACTAATCTACTTTGAGAAATGCATGACAACAAACACTACGTTTGATTGCTGAAAAGTCTAGTACATCGAAGCGCCGGTTTCGTTGTTTGTGCCGCATAAGTGTTCTTCCGCGGGCAGAGTGAGGTCCACTTTAACGGAGTCGACAAAACGGTACACCTTGCACCAATTAGAATATGGCGACCCCTCAAGAGCTTCATCCGCCCCCTTAGCCTTCGCTACGCTCACGCCACCACGCAGTCCGTGGAGATAGACCGATGGCCTCGGCACTTGGCTATAGTTGTCCCGTTTCGTTTGATTGGATTTCAGCCTGCAAGTCAGCATGAAATGGAGTAACAAGTGAAACGAGCCCAGCGAAACTTACATGTTATAACATATTTCAGTTCCGAGGCAAGATTTCCGACAAATGGTACAGCATGTTATGGGTACCACTTTCTATGTTATGGGAGCAGTTTATAAACATTACGTCTAAGGTTGGCAGTGTCATGTTCCCTTACTTGGGAAGGTATACTTGTGTATCATTGTCTCGCCTCCAGTTGCTCAAACGCGTCTGCACACTGTGCGTCACGCATTTGCGTACGTAGGTCTAAAACGCATTTTGCACCATTTGTGATCAGTTATTAAGTGCGAGAACAATGGATTATCATTGCTATGATGGAATTTGTCTTATTGTGCAAATAATTGTCAACCCCACTACTCACCAGCTGTAATGCTCGTCTTCTGAGTTCCCATTCATTCCACGTATACTTCGAGTCTATATGACGTGGAATTGGATGCACTACAGTCTGAATACCCTCATCAACTAAAAGCTTTGATTCCACGGGATCCTTTTCGTTCTAAAACGTCAAATTGCATTTATTTAGTCATATTAATCACAGCACGAAACCTAAACTGACTTGAGATTTTCCGCATTTTATCAATCCATTGCTTACATCCACAGGATGCTTTAGCACACCACACACAAATCACTTACGGGGAAGAATGCATTTTCCTTTTGGAAAGTTGAGGTCATATTAAGAAGGTTTATCAGCTCGGCATTTTTGCGTGCAACTTCATTTAGCTCCGCAATGTACCTATCAATGAGTTGAAACATCGAAATGGCGCTGCAAAGACTTTCCCGACCACAAATGTATGCACAATAAGTCATTCACTGATTAAGAGAGCTTATGGTATCAAAATCGCATTGAGATAGATAAGTGCTTCTGAACACGATCAACTCACTTTCGCTTAGTGATTCGAGAACTTACCTTTCAGGTGCAGAACCAAATTCCATGGCAGCCTCAACTGAAGAGAATCCATAATTTTTCCCTCTAAACACAAACACTCCAATACAGGGCGTGCAGGGAATGGGCAGACCTTGGTAGCGGACGATAGACCATGCACAAAATCCCTTGGGGCGCAATGATACAATGGGATAGAAACTTACATTTAAGTCAACTTTTACCTCTGAATTTGGAGCTGGAAATACCCAATTGGAGATGTCCTGCGCTTTGGGTTGAACCTTTGTGTTAGCTTTCTATTAAAAGGGCATAATTACTTGACTATTAACAGGACAGACTGCCTAATAGAATGAATATCAGAAGGCATGCGGCCAAATCTGTAACCTACCTTTCGCACTTCGTCACACACAATTTCGGCTCTGTGAATCAAATTGAGTAGCCGCGAGGCCTCCAAAAGAACATGTCGACGAAAGCTGAATTGCTGAAGACTATGGAGTAGATTTGAGAGCATTGCAATAAAGGTCACGTCTTCTTTAAATTTCATCCACAGTCTAGCTAACTCGATCAAGCGCTTCTGCAATGTGCATAAGAATGTTTCAAAATATTACGATGTACTCATAAGCTTGAAGTATCCAACGCAAACATCAAGTCATAGAAGTTGTTCAGTTTTACTCAGCGCCTATTACCAAGGATCGTAACTTTTCAACCATCACATTAAAAGTAGTTTGAATTTACAAAAAAAGAGATTCTCTACGCCACTCTGCCAAACTGCCATTCCATGTCCCTTAAGGGCTGAGCTGGTAGTTACGATAAACCTCCTTAAACAATAATAAGACACAATGGAGAGAAAGAGCAGAGCCTCCAAGTAAAAGACTAAAGATTTCATTATTTCCTACAACCCAAGAAATAGTCCACTGCTCAATCTGTGACAAGAACATACCTGGAAAGAAGGGTCGAGGGTACTCTGATTATTCCTAAGGGAATGCAGAATCTCACCAAGAACTTTAACCAGCTTATCTTTGTTTTCTTGGTGGCCACTTTCCAAGCCGATAAGGTTGCCACGCAACAAACGCAGATAGACTGCCAACTGTCGTGCGTTAATTGTCGCCGTCTTTAGTAGGTTCCGTGAGATGCCCATCTTTTCGGCTTCGATGGCTGCCACGTTTGCCAAAGTTTCAGTATTTGTGTCAAAAGCCGCAAGCTTTAGGTAAAGACCTAGTTGGATGTGCAGTAATATTTGAAAGAGGCATGATTTCACGTCAAACGTGTCTTTCACATTGCTTCAGCTGGCAATTAGCCTATCAGGACATCAATTATAAGTCATTAAGCCCCTAAGCTGCCCTAAAAGCGATCGTGTAGCAATTTCATTCGTGCTCGGACCATCCTTTCAGTTGGTTGTCCAGGAGGGTAAACTTTCAAAAATCCGAAGTAAATATGTGCCTAAAAACTGAAACATACTTGTAAAAAGTGCAGCATGATTCTCAACTTCCTCCAATTGTTTGTCTAACGTTTCAACCGTTTTGCGTATACCTTCCTCAACCAGTTCGGGTACTAAAATCCAACAGTGTCAGTTAGTGGCTTTCAAACTACAAGCATTTTTGGACTGCTACGATCTTGCTTATTTTTGGCTTAAAGGACAAGATAGTATAACTGTATAACTGTTAAAAGAAAGTAACAAAGTTGTTAAAGATTAATGAGCGTCACAGAGTCCAGTGCTAATAAGGGAGACTATTTTGCGATAATTAGGATTCTACTGGCTACAGTGAAGTTAAATGCTTCAAACGTTCTATGAACCGAAAGCCGATGTTTAAGAAAACTGGCGTATGGGACTTACGGTTGTCAATGCCTTCACCACCAAAACCCAAACTGAAGTTGTAAACTCGTGTTCCCAAAACAAGTCTTACAAGCTCGAAAAACCTTTGCTCGCGCCGTTCTGGACGCATGGAGCAAAACTTTGGTAGTTCATCGATTGGCAAATAGGTTTGCAGTATAGCTAAATTGACATAAGACCAAGACAAGGTGAGGACACTAAACAGCTGAATCATTTAAGTGAAAACTAGCGGTGCAAAGTAAAAGAACCCCGACTTTCTAGATTATAAGTACGATACAAAAAAAAACTAGCAAGCAAATCACACATGTGGCTTCTCGAACAACTGCCATGCGTTTCGCTGAACCAAGGCCAGGGTAGAGAAGAGTTCCGGTGATGACAAAGCGATAAATAGCTTCATAATCTTCTGGAATATTTCTAACAGGAGCACATATTTTTTCAAGTACAGGTTTGAAACGGGTTGCAACGATATCTTCATGTTCTTTCAGGAATAAGTCTAAAGATTAGCACCAATCATAGTTGGTACAATAAAAAACCTTTTGTACAATCATCATATTAAAATTCCAAAAGATTTAAGGCAAATGAACTCACAATTACTAGTGTGCTTTATTTAGACGTTAATCTCAAAAGTAACCACCTCCTTAAACTTATGTACACGAGTAGGAGTAATAAGTAGGAGCTGAGTAAATCGCAAAGTGGCGTACTAAACGAGTTTTTAGTTACCTCTTGGCATGTAGTTCATGTCGAAAAAAATCTGCATTTTTATGGTATCCAGAGAGGGTGAATTTTTTTCCATTATTCGATCAACACACACCTACTTTGATTATCAATGTATAAAAATACCTGCTTCAGCCTTTGTATGTCATCGTTGGACAGAAGCGCATTTTTTGAGAATTTATAATTTCTGTTTATTAAAACAGCTTTAATCTTATTCATTAGAGTATTAATATCGATTACTCACCATAAATGCAGCTAGAGGATCAGAGATATGCTCTCCCCTAGCTTTGCACTCGGCGACGATAGCGGATACTATTGAGTTAATGATAGACGCAGCTTCATCCTCCCATCCCGAGGCCGAAAATGAACGACAAACGCCAGCCATGCCAAACCAAAAAATGCACATAAACGTAACCATAGCAGTAACACTTATTTACACTATGTAGTCAGTTTAAGCAAAACTTTCGTTTCGGCTCGTTTAGTGCGACGCATGCAAGAACCGACGATCCTTTATTATTTTTTAGCTTTGAATTTTAATTTTAAACCTTTAGGTCTACTTATGTTTTGTTGGTCCTACCATCAAACTGCATTAGAGGCAACATGACCAGGAGGTTAAAGCGATGTTATAATTAAGCACAGTAGGATTGCATAGCAAAACTCTACTTTATATCTATTTGCTGCATTCTTGAGTGCTTTTCGCTGTCTACAAACAGCTATAACCTGGAGGTTGCAACTGTAGCGATTGAGACTTTCCACTAACTACACTAAGACATTATATAGGTTTAAGCACTTTGTTTTGGTAAGTAATGGAAAAAACTGGACTTTGCAATGTTCCAAAGGTCAGGCCATGGGTACGAGAGTGACAAGAATACCAACGTGCCCACCATTCCTACAGATGCACACATGTACGCCTGATGTCTAACGGTTACTTCTGTATTCACCCTGCTTTTTGTACGCATGAGCTAACCTTTGAGCCAGATCAAGACTTAATATTTTATTATCTTAGTATAGTAGAAAGTTATCCCAACTTAATGCCTGCAGTGGTGGTATCAGAAAAGGAACCAGGGATTTTCAACAAACTATTCCATTATCCACCATTTGTAATATGCTGCTATGGTGTGAAGGATCCTCGAAATTCTTCACAGTAGGATGGATGCGAATAATACCTGGGTTTGGCCCCACCATGTCCCCGTGTTCCACAACAAAGCTCTTAACAAATGAAGCGACATTGTTGTTAACCAAGCAGAACGGTTTCGTATCGCCGTTCTTCCTACTACATCCGTGTATAGAGATTGTCGGCATGACACTACTCCGGATTGCCTTGCATACGGAGCTGTGTTTGATTTCCATCCTCTCTGTGAAACGTCTGCTTGAGACCAGTGTGTCAACGTCTAGACCTGGAAGCAATTGATGGCCATACGATACGTGTGGCCCTCATTCCTGCTGTCAGAGTGGACGTAACTCCACATCAAATTGAAGTTGCTGAGAGGGTCAAGTGTCATCTCTCAGTCTCATGTAGTTGGTGGCTGACGTGACTGACTCATGGGTGTTTCTTTGTAGTAGCACGGGGTATGTTGTGATGGCTGGTGCCGAGGTCGTGACTTAAAAGGGAGGGAGGGAGGGAGGGAGGGAGGGACAGTGTAATACATCGTTTATGTGACCACGTGATGTCTTTCCGCCAGTTTGATTTTAGTCTTGTCCTTGTATACGTGGGCTAGCCTTCGGGCTAAGCCAAAGCCTAATCCCTTCTTCACCGCCTAGGATGCATGCATTCATCTTGACCTAATGCTTTATGATAATTTGCGCCTAGGCTCAGGAGCTAATTGACATTTATGATCTTGCACCTTCTGAAGCCGGCTTACTAGTTTTTTAAAGATCTATCGTGCTATAAAGAGCACGCTACAGCTTTAGAATGTGCAGGGTGCTTCCCTAAACCCCACCGCCAATCCATGGTGTACTGGCTTCCTGACAAGAACATCAATCTCAATTAATTCTAAGCGAACTTACATAGTCAACTAACAGGAAGTGCCCTTAACTTTTGATTAAAATTGTGATGGTGACATGAAGATTACGAGTTAGGGCCCATTATGCAGTAACTTTGGGGACGGGTTTTGCTGCACTATTTTTATGCCTAAATGAAGCTTTAAGAAAAGCCTTGATAAGTGTGCAATCGTCTGTTGAGAATGGACTTGGAGCAGAACAGGTGAGGCTGATTTCCATAATCTTTTGAACATTTCGAGTATCGCATTCGAAATGTCGGGCACTTTTAAAGGAAATTCCCCACTTGTCTTTTAAATAATAACCACACTCACTACCATTTTAGAGAATGAGTGTTTCGATTCAGTTCACATTAAAGGGTTTTAGGGAGCAGAATTTGAAGACCAATTAGGCGTGGCAATACTATAGCCTGAAAGAAGAGCAAACAACTTCTTCTTCGAGGCATGCATCGGAGAACGTGGACATGGATGATGATATAATCAAAGACAGGGACACAGCCATCCCTCGTTCACCTGGACTTGTCGCACTTTTCCAGCGAAACGCCCACAAACCCGATTCTACTAATGATGTCCATCACTAATGGCCTCGGTCGTAGACACCTGACTTTTCAACTTTCCAAAATTCCCCATAGGGTACAGCAACCAAAGCAACAAGAGTTGGGACCGCTCTTCGGGCGTTTGAGGCCACTGGTAACACCTGCCTATCTTCGGAAGAAACTGACCTACAGAGAAAACAAGCCGTGTGTAAATGAGACTGCTTAACATCATCCCCAATTTGCGATCATTTGAATGCAGAGGCAGGTTCCATAAAGTTCACTAATACTTCAATGAACATTTTACTCCTCTTGTGTTCTAGATTGCATGACAAGCATTAACAAATGGACAAGAGCATTCTGAGCAGCTTGATTTTACTACAAACCTTTTCCACGCATTTCAAATCAAGATGAAAGTGTGACGCAACTTTTCTTACCTCATCGTCCTTAAACAGACATAATTTCTCGCATTTATTCATCCGATTTGTAGCATTTAACTTTGATCTATTGGAAGTGACTGTCACGACTGGTAAGTTTTGAACTCATAGACACGTTTGATAAGGGCTAATTGGTCTGTTATTCCCAAAGACTTCGCAGAGTTCGATTGTCTTTGCGTGAAAACATTTTCAGCTTTCATGATGCTGATCCAGGCGTATGGGTATTTACATTATTTCCCTTGTGCCCTTGTCAGTTGTGGATTGATGGCGCAGTGCATCTTCATTAACTGACCAGCAGCAGGGTACCGGAATGGCCAAGGGTAAATGCTGGCACTTCGTGTCAAGGGTTACCTTTTCACTCGCTTAAAGGAAACAAAGGGCAATCGCAAACCTGATTGTACAGATGACCTTCTATTTTGCATTGAACGACTGCTAAAGCACTTAAAAGGCGGACAATACGTTTCCAACAAAAGTGTGTGAGGTCATTTCGTGCCGCTCCGGAAAGTTGAAAAGGCAAGAGTCTAAAACTCAGGTCAAAGCGAACATTTTCAATTCAAGTGATCAGGTGATAAATAAGTCAAATTTAAAAGAAGGACTCCTACTTTCCTATTTTGTACCAAATTTAAGAATCTTACTCAAATCACTGTTAGGAGTAGGCAAGTCCGTTGAAAAAAAATTCGGTTGGCTTAGCATAGTGAGGTTCAGCTTCGATGAAAGCCTTCTTATTGTTTCACAAACATCCTTTGGGCTATCAGGGAAGTCTTGGGTATTACTACAAGCTTTAGGTCCTTAAAGCCCTTTACGACAAAATCTGTTTAAACCTTGCAAGGAAAGGGAGAAATCCTTTGCAATCTCTGTTATGGGCATTGGCGAAAGCGACTTCAAGTTGGAGAGTGTTTGCAAAATGACCTGACAATCTCAGTGATTCACATGGGAGATACGAAGCGATTAGGATGAACTGGACCACCCCACCATAAAAGGAATACAAATTAATTTGCCCTTATCAGATCGACAGTTCTCCGAGAGACACTTGGCTGAAACAGTTTGTCCTATCTCAACAATACTCGACCTAAAAGAAGGCAAAAAACCTCGTCAGCCAGCACTTAGGGCTTAGTAAATCAACTTGCCACCTAAAACTCTTTTATTGTGTTGACTTTTTGACCAGAAGCAACAGCAGTTTTAAGACTAGAAGGAAAGAAGCAAACATTCAAGCGACAGCTTCGCGTGAAGGTGACTAAACATGGAGAGATAAGTGTGGGCCAAATACCTCTAGTCACCCTAAACTTGTGAATTTCAGTGAAAAGTGACAGTGAGTGCTATTAATTTTAATAAGAATTATCTCATAATGAGGTACATTTTCGTGGAGCGACAGAGTGAATCACAGGAGAGAGAAAAGGCGATGGTAAACCACCAAGGACGGGGACCTGCTCAAATGCTCCGAAGGCCACACCGGCTCGCAGAAGCACAACAGCGGGGACTGCGGTTGCCGACTTTAAAGCCTGTGCTCCTCTGGGCACCGAAACCGTACAGTGTTGCTCCCTCGTTTGGGTTATGTCAAGGTGGACTTAGGAATTTCACGTTTCTGGAGACTGTGCATTAATAAAGCTGACTAAATGACTTCCAAACTAGGCAGTAAGTATGCTTCACTGGGCATTTTATTTATAACTTTTGATGAGCTACATGCCCATTTTCGCTTACCCATTAGAAGCGATGCTTCGACAGAGTGAAGTACCGCTTGCGATCAGTGAGGTGGCCACACGGATAGCCTCGATCCCATGCGAATACCTTCGATCCCCTTCCTTTGGCCAAACTTAATGCATTCCACTAAAGTGCTGCGTCTGCTTCCAGCGTGATTCAAGCATTACGGCTGCAGCTTAACAAAATGAAAGTGCGCCACTCAGTCAAGAGGCGCAGTCAAGGCTCCGTAGAAGAGAACAGAAGCGAAGAATGGCGAGCTGACAATCGTCATTGTTCTTTATTCTGAGCCGACGTTGGGTCACCTAAATGGACGGTTGATAGGTGTAGATAAAAATACTATGAAGGTTAACCTTTCGAAATTGTCTAATTTTTAAGTATCCACATAAAAACCTTTGAATTATGTCCATCCAAAATAAATTCTGAATTTTAACTCAAAATAAAGCCAACTTCTTGCATTAGAGGCTTGCTTAAATGTGAGTCAAGAGGTTATTGTTAAAGGTGCGGTAAAGGGCGAAACATTTGCCCCACTTGTAGGGTGCCGATCGAGTGGAGAAATTGAAAGTTTGTGATTACAAAATGAGAACCCAAAGTATCAACTATGTCTGAGCCTCAAACCCTTCGAGGCCTTTTTGTCGTCTAAAAAGAAATTCGTGAACCGCTGCAGATGATCGTCTGATGTCTTTCTGTTGGATTGCACGTTACCGCTAAATTGCTCAAACT